ACATATTAAAAACTTCCCTGAACAGGGCTGCCTTCAGATGTCTTCTGAATGTCAGGTAGTTGTTTATTGCTTTGACATCTGATGGGAGGGCGTTCCACAGGGCGGGCGCCACTACCGAGAAGGCCCTCTGCCTGGTTCCCTGTAACTTGGCCTCTCGCAGTGAGGGAACCGCCAGAAGGCCCTCGGAGCTGGACCTCAGTGTCTGGGCAGAATGATGGGGGTGGAGACGCTCCTTCAGATATACTGGACCGAGGCCATTAAGAAGGACCATTATGTCCCCCCACCACAAGCACTACCTCTCCTGTAACACTCCATACACCTGGGAATACCCAAAATGTATTCAGTACAATTGTGGAAAGAGAGACTAGTGGGTTGCTGGATAGCTCACAGCATATGCATATACACCTCCCCATCGACACATTGCCTGAGGCTGAGAGCTGCACAGGACTGGTCTCTAATGGTATAACAATACGGCTGCTGAAAAATAATGGATTAAATATTTCATGAATGAAGATTCATTATTTATTGCACTCTTTGTAGGAGATTGGAGCAGTAGAAGTGGGTTTTCTGTGTGGTCCCATTGAAGTATAGAATCATAGAATTGTTAAAAGAGACCCCAGGGGTCATCTAGTCCAACCCCTGCAGTGCAGGAATCTCAGCTAAAGCATCCATGACAGATGATCGTCCAACCTCTATTTAAAAACCTCCAAGGAAGGAGAGTCCAGCACCTCCATTGCATTGTGAGAAATTTAAAATGGCAACTCATAGCTGCCTTCTGCAGGGGAGGGGGAAGGACATGAGTCTGCTTCAGGGGGATTCTGGTAGGTTCATAGAATCATAGAATTGTAGAGTTGGAAGGGACCCCAAGGGTCATCTAGTCGAACCCCCTGCAATGCAGGAATCTCAAGCATCCATGACATTTCAAACTTAAATACCTCCTATGAAGGAGAGTCCACAACCTTCTGAGGGAGACTCTTCCACTGCTGGACAGCTCTTACTGTCAGAAAGTTCTTCCTGATGTTTAGTCAGAATCTTCTTTCTTGTCACTTGAAGCCATTGGTTTGGGTCCTACCCTTCAGAGCAGGAGAAACAAGCTTGCTCCATCTTCCATATGACAGCCCTTTAGATATTTGAAGATGACTGTCATATCTCCTCTCACTCTCCTCTTTTCCAGGCTAAACATACCCAGCACCTTAAACAATGCCTCATATAAGACTTGCTTTCCAGCCCCTTGATCATCTTGGCCACCCTCCTCTGCACACATTCCAGATTGCCAAAATCCTTAAATTGTGGTGCCCAGAATTGGACACAGTATTCCAGGTGTGGTCTTACCAAGGCAGAATAGAGTGGTATTATTACTCCCCTTGATCTGGACACTATAATTCTGTTGATGCAGCCTAGAATAGCGTTAGCTGGTGCTAATGTGTCGAAATGTGTCCTTTGGTCGAAAAAGTTTGGCATACCATGAGATAAATAAAGAAAATGACAGCAAGAGCTGGTTATCTGCAAACACAGTGGCACCTGCTTCAAAACTAGTTCAAACTATGCATTAGTATCGATGTCTGCTTTTTTCGGTTCTGAAGGGAGATTTTTGTGTGATGCTATTGCTGCATCTCCAGAAGAATCTGGACGAGGCAGAAAGAGGGGGCAAGTAGTCATAGGAGTGGAGAGGAGCTGAGATTAACACAATTTGAAATGTGTGTGTTTACTCTGATCCTCTCGGAGCTATCTTTTAAATAGGATAAAATGATCCGTTAATCCCCCATATCTTATTAAGAGAGGGTTTAAAAGATTGACTTGACATCTAAGATGCAGAAAGAAAAGGACTTTCTAATATTCATCAGAAATGCTGGGTGGGAATGGTCTAAGTTTAACCAAAAGGGCCTGTCATCAAGAAAGGCACCATCCTCTTAGAGAATTATCCAGTGTTATTGTATTTGCGATGAGAAGTGGCTGACACCAATTCACATCAGGCAGAGAAATGTCAGCTGGAGCCCAAGGATAGAAAGCAGAAGGGGAATTGCTGCCATATTGACATATCTCTGAACAGCATGCTTCTGAATCCCAGTCACTGGGGAACATGAGTAGGACAAGCTATATTGCCTTTAGGACTCAATCAAAACTAGGCTTTTCTCTGTTAGTGTATGTGAGTTTACGCATGCAGAGAAAAAATGACAAGAAAGGGTTAATTTAGGAGTGCCTGTCCTGCACCTGCAGCTGGTCAAGTGTGAGTCAGCAAACTTGTGAGAATGAGTCAGAGAGTGACTCAGGACAGAATAAAGTCTAGGTACCTATGTAAAGGTAAAGGGACCCCTAACCGTTAAGTCCAGTCACGCACGACTCTGGGGTTGCGGCGCTCATCTCGCTTTATTGGCTGAGGGAGCTGGCGTACAGCTTCCAGGTCATGTGGCCAGCATGACTAAGCCACTTCTGGCAAACCAGAGCAGCGCACGGAAACGCCATTTACCTTCCCGCCGGAGCAGTACCTATTTATCTACTTGCACTCTGACGTGCTTTCGAACTGCTAGGTTGGCAGGAGCTGGGACAGAGCAACGGGAGCTCACCCCACCGTGAGGATTCGAACCGCCGACCTTCTGATCGGCAAGCCCTAGGCTCTGTGGTTTAATCCACAGCGCCACCCGCGTCCCTATGGACCTATGTACTTAGCCCTAAATGGCCTCGGTCCTGTATACCTGAAGGAGCGTCTCAACCCGCATCGTTCAGCCCGGACACTGAGGTCCAGCGCCAAGGGCCTTCTGGCGGTTCCCTCACTGCAAGAAGTGAGGTTACAGGAAACCAGGCAGAGGGCCTTCTCAGTAGTGGCGCCCGCCCTGTGGAACGCCCTCCCAGCAGATGTCAAGGCAATAAGCAACTATTTACTTTTAAAAGACATCTGAAGGCAGCCCTGTTTAGGGAAGTTTTTAATGTTTAATGCTGTATTGTGTTTTTAATATTCAGTTGGGAGCTGCCCAGAGTGGCTGGGGAAACCCAGCCAGATGGGCAGGGTATAAATAAATTATTATTATTATTATTATTATTATTATTATTATTATTATTACAGTGGTACCTCGGGTTAAGTACTTAATTCGTTCCCGAGGTGCGTTCTTAACCTGAAACTGTTCTTAACCTGAAGCACCACTTTAGCTAATGGGGCCTCCTGCTGTTGCTGCGCCGCTGCTGCACGATTTCTGTTCTCATCCGGAAGCAAAGTTCTTAACCCGAGGTATTATTTCTGGGTTAGCCGGAGTCTGTAACCTGAAGCATCTGTAACCTGAAGTGTCTGTAACCCAAGGTACCACTATACAATGATTCATCCAGTATTAAAAGCTTCCCTAAGCAGGGCTGCCTTTAGATAGTTGTTTATTTCTTTGACATCTGATGGGAGAGTGTTCCACAGGGTGGATGCCACTACCGAGTAGCCCTCCGCCTTGTTCCTTGCATTTTCACTCAAAATGTCTTTCTAAATGTAGTTTGAAACTTTTTTTTCCCAACTGAGACCAAGCCAGCAGTTGTAGTTAAGTGGGATAGACGCTGGTTAAATAAATAAGATTTGCAGTTTTTGAATTTTGCAACTCCATTCGCCAGCCAAATAATGTGTGTCAAATTCATATACATGGGTAAAGCATGGACATCAGTTCAAATTGAAAAGAAAACAAATTATGAACAGGCATTGTATTGGGGAAATTTTCTTGCAAAACTATACTTGTCAAAACTGCATACAAAAATTCACACTGAGATGCTGAGTTGCTGCATAAATGCGGAGAATTAAATTTAAGATTGGGGAAAAGGTGAAATTGAGAGACCTGCAACTTTATGGATTCGTCTGTTTCTAGTGTTCAGCGACATGGGAGGAGTCACTGGTTTCCCAACCATGACCTATGAAGTCTCAGGTGATTGAGAATTCTTAATATATAATCATAAAATTGTAGAGTTGGAAGGGATCCCCACAATGCAGAAATCTCACCCCTTAAATGCCAGAATTTAGGCTCCACCTGCACTATACATTTAAAGAAGCAATAGATCACATTAAACTGCCACGGCTTCCCCCAAAGCATCCTGGGAACTGTAGTTTGTTGAGGGCGTTGAGAGTTGTTAAAAGACCCGATTCCTCTTGTAGAGATACAACTCCCCACCTCCCAGGGAATTCTGGATTGCTTGTTAAACCAATCCAGGAGGGGGAGGGGGGCTTAAAGTAGTATATTATTTCTATCCATTCATTGCATTTGTTTCCCACCTTCTCATAGGAGCTCAAGGTGACGTACATATTTCACCCAGTATGGTACTGCTTTAAACAGTTGATGAGCTTATAATGCATCTCTGGACCGTTTTAAGCTTGGATGGGGTGCGCCCCCAACAACGGCGCCCTTTTGGGCTTCCGATCCTAAGGCTACAATGAAGCAGACAAGGGACACACGTGACTCCCTTTCCTGCATGATCTCCAACCCATGCCAGGCACCGGGTGCAGGAATTCTTACGAGGGTGGCAGCGCAGGGAGCCGCCAATATTGCAGCTGCTCAAAAACCACACATGGCAATCGTGTCCCTGGGCTGGCTATCAAAACCCACTCCGAAATAGGCAGCACTAAACCTCCAGTAGCGCTATCAAGAGTCCAAGTAGGAATCACCCCCCAAACGGAGGAGGATGGTGACTGATTGTATAGCACCCCCTTTTTTTTTTAGGTAACGGAAAACCAAGAATATGTCTTCCACATCATAAAGACCAGAGGGAAATCTTGGAATAAATTTTGATGAATAGTATGATCATCAGCTGACAAGAAAATGATTTAATGATTCCCTGCCAGGAGGCAAAAGCATTTTTTTAAATAAAAAAACCATAGATGGGTCTTTGGCCCATAAGCTGTCTTGTAAATATGTTTAAATTACTTGCAACTGACATTCTTACTAATGACATGCCCTGTCTTGTTTTCATGGGTTTGTTTGTTTCTTAAAAAAGAGAGAGAGAGAGAGTGCTATTTTGTTGAATCTTATTATGTTTTCTTGTGTTGATATGATTATTGCTAACCGGCTCAAGCAACGTTTTTCACTAAACATTGCTTAAGCCAGTTAGCAATAATCATATCAACACGAGAAAAGCCAGACATTCTAACCAATAAAAAGGCCTGATTGAAACCTAGTCATGTTTAGACTCATTGAAACTGGTGGAACCCGTTGATTTCTCTGGGTACCGCTCAAAGTATAATTATGTCCAGGTTGATAGATTGATTGCAGTCAATTTCCTCCCTCCTCATATAATCCCAAAAACAATCCTTTGAGGTTGGTTAGGCTGAGAGGCAGTGCCTCGCCCAAATTCACCCAATGAGTTTCATGGCTGAGTGGGTATTTGGGTATCCTCACCTGACACCTGATACCCTAACCACTATGCCACACTGGCTCACAGGTTCAGCCCTCAATAATCAATAAATACATACGTACATTGAATTTCAGAAGCTTCCCTAGGTGGCTCTTTCCAACAATGTTAGCCCCTGTACAATGAAGAGTGAGTTCAGGGGGCTGTTCCCATGAGAATATTCTGCAAAATAAGCTTTTATCATAGCAAACATTATTATTAGCCTAGTGCAGGGGTGGGGAACCTCAAGCCCAGGGGCCAAATGAGGCATTCATCTGGCCCTTGGACTCTCCATAGGTTCTTCCTGGGTCATCCTTCACTTCTAGTTTTGCCTAGCTGGAATTTGTCCTTGATCTGTGCTAATGCCCCTTTGCTTGTTTGGCGGGAGAGGTGTGTGTGGCAGAAAAGAGCCTACTATACAAAATATCAGAGTCCTATCCATTGCTCCACATTTTCTTCTGACCTCAAATACTTCTGGAATGTGGCCCCCAGAAAGTTGTCCATGATAAAATGTGGCCCTCAGATTGCAAAAGCTTTGCCACCTTTGACTTAGTGGAATAGGATCCTTTGTTTCTAAAGTGTTGACATTCAGGGCTCAATAGTCCTTGACTTTTTAGTCTTTCTTTCTCTTTCTAAGCATTATTGGTAGTATTACTGCAGTTGGCCTGGCCATCACATAATAAGGCAGATTTACTTTAGGGGGGTTTAGACTGGAGCTGCTCATAACTTATTCATGATTCATTACCCATCCTTGGATGAAAAAATTGAGAGAAGGCCATTAAGCAATGCAGGGATGCATATTTATTCAAGTCTAAACTGATCTGTTTCCGAAGCGAGGACTGTGGATAACAAGCCAGAAAGAGATGGTTAGGATTTAGAGGCTCAGCAAGACTTCTCTGCCAATCATGAACTTTGTGAAGCTAATAATAATAATAATAATAATATGCATTTTCTCAGATGTCACCAGGAATGGCTGGTATGTTTCTCGTCCCTTTAGGAATTGATAATAACAAAACAGGGTTGTTCTTTTGCTTTTGTCTTTATTGCTCAAGGAACACCTTGAAAACACAAACCTTTGCCCATGCTAAATAATTTTAACAGACAGGGTGGAATGATTCAAAGCATTTTCTTTAAAGCCGCTTCTAGATTTCTGAAATATAGGCATTAGGCTACTAGTGGAAACATCCAAGCTGTCCTTGGCCTCTGTGCATAAACCAGAATCAAATGCCGGCCTTTGAGACTGGTAAGCAGGCTTTGTGTAGCCATTTGGCTTGGCTTCTGTAATAACACGAATGCTGGGCTAGATGTCAAGAGATTTTTATTTTTGTGAGTTGCAATCTGAACAAACCTGCACCTCTGACATGAATGTGCAGATCAGAGCGCATGGTTTTCTTTTGGATTTTACTCTTAGCAAGGCTAATTTGCTACAAACACATAGTAATAATAATAATAATACAGTGGTACCTCAGGTTACATACGCTTCAGGTTACATATGCTTCAGGTTACAGACTCCACTAACCCAGAAATAATACCTCGGGTTAAGAACTTTGCTTCAGGATGAGAACAGAAATTGTGCAGCAGCGGCGCAGCAACAGCAGGAGGCCCCATTAGCTAAAGTGGTGCTTCAGGTTAAGAACAGTTTCAGGTTAAGAATGGACCTCTGGAACGAATTAAGTTCTTAACCAGAGGTACCACTGTATTTTAATATTCTGCCGGAAGCTGCCCAGAGTGGCTGGGGAAACCCAGCCAGATGGGCGGGGTATAAATAAATTGTTGTTGTTGTTGTAAATTATATATTTTAATCCTATTGAAATGCAGATTTTCATGCCAATTTTGTTTAAAATGGCGGTTTAATATGGGAAACAGGACATCATGCATTTATGGGTGATTAATCACATACAAACATAACACAGACCAGCAGAGGTGGATTTAGGGGAGCCCGACCGGTTCAGTCACATTGGGTGGGTGTGGAGTCCTGGGGAAGCTACAACTATGGTTTACAAGGCAGCGTGAGAGGGGCGAATTTTGGCGCTGCACAGGGGATCGCTGAAACTTGAGACTCTATGATCTGCCACTGCAAACCAGAAACAGATGGAATGGGTCATCTCCAAAACAAAGTTTTTATGGACAAGTCTGTAACTAGGTCGATTAGATTTGAAAAGATCAAGGAGGGGACTCAGTTACAGTGTTACCTCCAGTTACGAACTTAATTAGTTCCGGAGGTCCGTTCTTAAGCTGAAACCGTTCACAACATGAGGCACGCTTTCGCTAATGGGGCCTCCTGCTGCTGCCGTGCCTCCGGCACGCAACTTCCGCTCACATCCCGGGGCAAAGTTCGCAACTGGGAGCATCTACCTCCGGGTTAGCAGAGGTTGTAACCTGAAGCATTTGTAAGGCGGACGGTACGTAACACGAGGTTCCACTTATATTTCTGTTTTGAATCGTTCAATGCTATTCATGCCTGCTCAGAAGTAAGTCCAGCTGAGATTGGTGGGACTTATTCCCTGGTAAGTACTGTGTATATGGGATTTCAGTGCAATGCTTTTTAAAAAAAGAAATCTGATGCTAGGAATGACCTGCTCTAGGGGCAGAATCCACCCCCTCTCCCATTGCAAGTCTTTCTGTCAATTTGAAATTGTTGCCATGACAACTGTATTTTTGGTAGCTCCACATTATTCATGCCAGAGGCCATAAAGTGATACATGTAGTATCTGTAATAAAGTGCTGAGAGGCATTTGCAACACCCCCCCCTAAACCCCACTGAGCTTTTCTGGCTTTCAAAAGTCAACGGCGCTCCTGATGGCCTAGGTGCAGGCTTGAATATATTGCAATGCAAAATCCCATTAGGCTATAACGATGCCGAATGGAGAAAATACATTTAGCTCAGGCTTATTTTTACCCTTTGGGGGAGAAAAGTATCTCCAAGCATCAGTTTATATTCATGAAAGCCTTGTTCTAACACATAGATACATATACAATTTATACATTATTCTGCAATCAGCTGAGGGGAACCGTATTAAGATTTTGCCTCTAATGCCATTGATTATGATGGTGATGATGATGACTATTATAAGAGGCAGCTGCATTCCAGATGATGATGTTTAAAAACGGGGATGGGAACAGTGGTGTGCATGCAAACCCCACTCTTGCTGTCCCTGAGCACATCCATCTATGTCCTAAGTTCTGGGCAAATGGTAGGCAGATACTCACTTTCACTTAAGTAAAAAGGAAAAGGCACTTTCTAGACCTTCCCTGAATGGTAAGATCAGAGGCTGAGTGATTGAGCCCAAAGCTCACATGGACATTAGAAGGGGGATTTTCATGCATGATCCTGCCCCAATCACCCCCCAATAATAATAATAATAATAATAATAATAATTATAATAATTATAATTATAATTTTTTATTAAAGGTTTTCTTGGTTTACAAAAGTGCATTGTCTCTTTCCTCAGGTTGTAAAGTTAACCATTGCATATTTAGGAGAACGCCAGAAAACTTATTTGATTTCACTGGGATCGTGTCAGAAGCTAATGACTCCTTATTAGGGTGGTTCATAAAAACTTTTTTTTAAAAAATTGCCTGCTCCAAAGGTCTTATCTTACTACAACAGGGATTATGTAGCTGTATCTAAAATTTCATGCATAACAGTTAATATCTTGACCCTCCTCCACTGAATTGAAATTTCAGCCTTCGCGACATAAGAAAACGGCCAAGTAAACAGCTATTTTTGTCACTTTATGACCAGTTCAGCTTTATTTTGCAGGAATTGCAAAATACTCCGTATGTGGAGAACCACATTCAGGATCTGGACCAGTGCTGCCTGGAAATCTGTCTTTCAATATCTCGAAAGTTTCCCTCCTCAGAGAAAGATGCTTCTGTTTCTCCCCTTCAGTCTCAATGCACTGAAGGTGCAAGGTTTGGAGCTCACCTTATCATATGTGTAGGGCAGCACCTGTGTTGTTCTTTCCTGTAAATATTGATTCAGGGCAGCTCCATGCAGCCTCCCCACCTGCCTGCACTTCCTGATCTGGAAAAGCCCCATCAGAGGATTTATCATGCCATGTATTCCCTCAGGCTTGGAGGAAAGCTGCAGAATGCAGGCCACCGGAGCGGTGACTTGTAAAATGAAAGGAAGGACACTCACAAACAGCCCTGGCCACCGCAAAAGAAAGGAAAGCACAACAAGAAGCCAGAGAAATTCACTGATTCTTTCCTCGTTAATTGATTAAGAATAGTGTTAAAACAAAAAGAAAACCCTGTACAATGGTACCTTGGTTCTCAAACTTAATCCGTTCCAGAAGTCTGTTCCAAAAGCAAAGCATTCCAAAACCAAGGTGCGCTTTCCCACAGAAAGTAATGCAAAATGGATTAATCCGTTTCAGACTTTTAAAAACCAGCCCTAAAACAGCAATTTAATATGAATTTTACTATCTAATGAGACCATTGATCCATAAAATGAAAGCAATAAACAATGTACTGCAGTCACACAATCAATCCCTCAGTAACTGAACTGGGTTCCACACAGTCAGAAAAACAAAAAGCTGCAAAAACAAAAACGCAAAATAAATAGCAAAAACAGGCAGACCTCAGCATAACACTCAAAATGGAAGCATGGCACACAAAACAGAAGTGTAACACTTCAAAACGGAGCACATTCAGTTTCCAAAAAAAAGTTTGCAAACCAGAACACTTACTTCCGGGTTTGCAGTGTTCAGGTTTCAAGTAGTTTGAGTACCAA